TACTAATGTGACAGATTTAGTTTAAACTTTTTTCTTCTTCTCTGGGCAACTATGATATTGTATGGACAAAATGCAGTTTTCGTAACCCTGACAAAAGGGTCGAGATTCATAGTTGACAACAGATATCAGATCAGAGATGTGCAGAAAAAACATTCAAATCTTGTCTGCTTTGTGACAGTAAAATATTTGAAATACACACACACACACGTAGTTATTAGAATGGTAGATAAATGGGTTTGTGTGCAATGTTTTCGGAAGCAAACATACATACATTTGTAAAGAGAATAAAAGGGCATCAATCACACTTCAAATTTTATCGTTTTTTTAAGTGCCAACTGAAATTTTGGCAGAATTATTATGTTCGTAGGTGTGTGTTCAAATGTCAAAATCTCGATCATATGCTACCTAATAGCTGATTTTGTTTAAACGATTTCTATGCAACAGAGCTTTTTTTTAAAAAAAAACAACAACAGAAATACGGGAGTGGCGGTAGGTTCATTGAAAGAGCACCTTCTATATTATGTTCAATCAGTATAATCTCTGCCCCAAGATGGGGTCAGGATTCAAAGGCCTCTTAGGACAATGGTGGAATTAACCTAATTAATTAACAAAAGCCACGCCGTAATGAAACCAATTTCTTTACGAAAAATATCTTAACCACTATTTTAGGCCTTACTGGTGTGCCAGATGGCCCGATAGGGTATATGTAAAAAATAAATAAATAACGAATATAAAAAAAGCTTGTTATACGAATATTACGAATCACATTCCTTTCATAGTGTGTTTGTATACATACAGACTTGCACACAACATTTAAAAAAAAATTCCATTGTTCTTTTTATGAACACCTTAAATCGGATTGACGTCATATACTAAATCCAGCCGCGAGATGTCACTTTGTGTAGCTGGTTCCGATCATGGAAGATTTCTACTTCTGTCATAGGATGTTGAACTCTACATTGTCTGTAGAAGACGTTTGTAATAGATTAGCTGCGGAGAGAAAGTAAATTGGGCCCACAGGTTTGGCGTTTTTCAGGCACATTTAATTTGATTCGCTCCAGAAATTTTGTCTTCGTACCTTGTTTTCTTCAGTCTGCTGGCCATGCGTGATTGGTTTAATCTTCGTTTTGAAATAAAGTTTATTTATTTTTTATTTATTATTCTTTAATCTCTTGTTCTATGGAAAACTCGTACATCACCATGAACATAAACATGTCCTCCCCCCGCTGCCATGCGTGACACCTATACAACTTTTGTTTTAGCATTTAAAAGTGTGATGTTACCCAGGTGTTTGAAATTTTGTATTGCCATGAATAAAGGGAATTTCCCCTCACACTTCCCAAAGTTCACCAGTTTCAAATGTCAGAAAAAAGGACATTCATTCCCCTTTCACACTCCCCAAAGTTTACCAGTTTCATGTGTCAGATAAAGAATGAGTAGTATTTAAATTGTGTCTTTTGATTTTTTTATTGTGTGTTTAAAACGAACCTTGACACTGGGAAAGTTGTTTATCTGTCAAAGTGAAAGTGAAAGCGCTAGTAAACTTCTTGTTTTAAAGAAAGTTTAGGTAGAAAAGAATACTCGATTGGAGACTTTTGTGGAGTGCATCTGCATTAGAGTTTGTGGACGATGTGTCATGCATTAGCAGCTCGAAACGTTATTCATAAACTTCTAAGACAGATAGGGTTCACAGAAGTTTCTAATAACGTTAATAAAGTATTTTAACCTCGGCAATGTATCTTGTCGCATTTTTTATTTTTACTCATCCTCTACAAATCACCACACTTTTTCTACAACCAGGTCCTGTAACCTGTAAGTTGTTGCTGAGATAATGTAGCTGTGTGCTATTTTTATCCTTGAATTTGTGGCAATTCAATGTACATAAATATATTTAATCTTTTAAAAGATAGAGGGCGTCATCAAATACAGCAAGAGGTTGTACAGCGGAGAAGGGACAAAAATTAACATGGGATTGGTAGTACACAGCATGCTCGAATCTAATCCACTACAGTCCAGCTCGTACATTTGCAGCTGAAGCTTATGCATGTTTCTGATAAGATTTCAAGAGTAACAGTCTCTTCTCGGAGATAAACTCTATCGCTTGTTGAATAATTGCTATAAACAATGCTTTTCAGAAAGTCCTAACAAATCACGTGTTTTCACACTGGGAGAGCTAGTGGCTTTCGCGGACCTTCAACTTGTGAATAATCACTAGTGATGGATTGCTTAGGTGTTTTCTACATTTATATTTTTCATTTGGTATTTTGAAGTATTACAAAAAATAGATATATTTGAAAGTGTTGGTAAGCTTATATGAATTATAGATTTGTATAATTTTTTGAATGTATCAATTCATGTTGCTGCGTAAGTTTTTCTGCTTAAAACTGAGTTTATATTTTTGTATTTGAAAGGAATGAAACTTGTTATCAGGCATATTTACAAATTTTCAGTCACGTTCGCTCGTTAATCTATTTCGTGAGATGGGGCGTACTGTAAGTGTTTATATTCTGTTAACAAAATATATTATTAGCACTGAAACATGTGTATTAATTAATGATAACTCCTTATTAAGAGCGAGTGAATTAATAGACAACAACAACAACAAACAGAAAAGGAACTTGTAAACGCCAATTCTATAATACCACTGATTGGAAGTGTATAATGCCGTAAATCAATACATCAGAAAACTGAAATTCAAACTGATTCAATGTGCTTTGTCTTGTATTTTCAGTATATCTGAAAAAATGTTTAAAAGTTGCCCAAGTTGAAATCTCAAGTTCCAAGTAACAAGATTTCACGAAATTTATTGAATCTGCGTTCACGGAAATCAGTTGGAAATACGAGTTGCTATTACAGAAATAATTGTTTCTAAAACTTGTAAACCTCTTTCTAACACTCACTGATAAAGCAAATAATACAGTTTTTTTAATTATTTTATTTGTACCAAGTGATACTGTATGGAAAGCTAAACTTTTGTGAATACATATTCTTTTAAAGGTAGTAATAAGTTAGAACTACTTTGTTTAAAATGTGGGTAGTTATTTGTGGCCCTCTTTTCATAAGCTGTAGCAATTATCTGCTTCTAAGTAGTTATTTAAGAGCTTTTGATATGATATCTTTGTGAAAGTGAAACGTTAAAGTTGATTGTTTTAACTATCAGTTTTGAGATTCTCGTTTTTCAGTCGTTTATTTGGATATAAAAGGCATGCAGAATTTGTACTTGTGGCGCCATCTTTCATTACGTACATTAACTAGCATTCAAAACTGAACACAAAATACCACACACCTAAAGGTCTGTGCCTTCCAGGATGGCATTATCAAACTCTCTGTTATTTGTAATGTTCCTTTTCAGCACATAACAATTTAAATAAGGTATTTAGATTTAAAAAAAAATTAAATATCAGAGTAATATTCATTAGCTTACATGTATTTATATATTATTTTTTAATTGATTTTTATCTATTGTATAGCAAGACATAAAAAACAGCCCACATTTTAAGTTAGGGTTATTATTGAACTTGGGCTTCTAGGTTAAAGGATGGAATGAGAACAGAATGTGATATATGATTAGTATGTTTAAAAATATGAGGACATTTATATTAATAGTTTCATATTATATCTGATCCAGATATTTTGATCATGTTGACTGTAATTAGCATACTCGAGTTATGAACTATATTTGGAGGTAAGACTAGTTGCCACCTAAGTAAAACAACCAATAGATTATTCAATTTTAAAATATTAACAACAATAAGAGTGCTGCCCACCAGTAACATTATAGGATTTTATTTTGGGGGAGGGGGCAAAAAGTTAGCTTGAGAACAGAAAGAGGGTCAATTGTTATTAAGTATGAAAAAAAAATGTTTTTTTTTTCTTTTTCTGTCTTTAAGAAATGTTTCTTCTTTTCAATTATCAAAAAATGTGAAATTACCTCAGGCTTTCTTTATACAATTTTGCAGCAGTATTAAGTTGTTTAAGACTACTACCATTAAACCCACCCCCCATACTACCATACCTGTAAAAAAACAACAACAAAAAACACATTCATGCCAGTTGGTGTCACAGTGTAGGGAGAATTTTAAAATCATAAATGACACTAAATTCTGATATTTTAGATGAGAAGGAGCTCTCCCGCACCACCATGATAAAGAAACTAATTTTATCCACTTATTGTCACTTGAAGCCTGTATATTATAAATGGTATACTGAAATGTTAATAAAGTTAGTAAACATTCTATGTTGAGTATTTTCCCATTTTTAATAGGTGATTAGACACAAAGGTATGGAGACTTGAATGTGATTCAAGCTTTACTGCTAAGTGTATATTTTCTTTTGAGTAAGCGTTCAAGTAACCAGTTCCATAATAACCTGCTGCCTTAGGAAAGTGAGTTCAGCTCCCCTGTTGGCTTAATATAGAAACTTTGCAAACTTCATTGACTATAAGCATAGGAATGTAAAAGGTTACAATGTTTCGTGGGAAGTCTGAGTAAAAATAGTTAGAAAAATTTAAAGACAGCTTTCATGTTTGAATTTGATGGAATGATATACATTTACTTAGCTTTTATTTTATTTTACTTAATTGTTTGAGTTGAAGTAAGTGTTGAGTAAGTTATAGGGCATGAGTCAAAGAATTTTTGTGAATTGACCTACATATTTGAGAAATGAATCTGAATTAGAAGGTAGCCACAGTTTACAACTGATTTACTACTGCATAAAAATGTTATCTCAATATATCTATGTAACATCTATTTTAGAAGTTAGGGCATTTAAACAGCTTACAATTATTATGAGACATGGGATGTTGTTTTTGTGAATTTATCAGAGAGAGAATACTTAAATCTAAAGTGACATAGAAGTAATTTATGAAGTTATTAATTATACAGCAAAACAATGATGTGAGAGAGCTTAAAAACAAAATATGAGAAGGTAGATGCACGTGTTTTGTAGTTTATAGTGTATATAATCATCCAATAAAAATCACTTTTTTTTTAACTGTGTAGAAAATGCCCCTACTCTTTAGCTGTCGTCTTGTCAAAAGCAGTAGCAGAAGAAGTAGGTCACGAGGCAAAACTTGGAAATTAGAGACAGATGAGGAGCGTACAGAGCCAGTGGAATGTGGCAATGAATGTAAGTAAACACAGTAGAATCTACTTTAAACAGACTTATTGACTTTAGATTTACATAAGAGAAAAGTAATACAACTTTATATAAGAAAACACAAAAAATGAACTTGATTATAAGAAAATATGGTTTTTATAGTGTTTCAAACTTGAGGCTTAACTTACGGAAATGTGGTAATTTATGTACATAAAATGATAAGACAACATAAACTGCTCACCTCTAAATTCAAAATAATTACAGCAAAAAAATAAGTTATGGATTCATAGAAATAGGTTAAAAATCTAGAATATTGGTTTATTCAAGCTAAACTAAGGATAAGCAAACAGTGTGTTTGAAATTCAGGTTTAAATTTCTTTTAATTGAAGCCATTGGTGTAAGGCAGAGAAAGGTATTGTGCATTTGAGGTATTATGTGTTGTTTTTAAATGATCCCTTACAACTTTAAGCATTTTAAGAGGTCAGTGTCTATTACATAAGTAAACATCAAGTATTTGAGAATGGGGGGGGGGGGGGTCATTGTATAAGTTCTTAATTGTTTAATCATTTCAGTTGACCTGCACCCTTGGCTTTAAAGTTATCTTTTTTTATTATTATTATCAAGTTTAAGTTTGAATATGATCTGTTTTAGTTCCAATTTATACATTTTTAGTAAATGAATTCACTGAAGACTTTCAAACTTAAAATCCTGAATAAAGAAATGTTCGAGTTTCTAGATACTCTTTAAAGAGAAAAGCTGACTCTATATTGCTTTTTTTATTGGTCATGTTTATTGTTTTGCGAGTTATACTGAGATATCTGTGTTTTTGTTTTTTAAAGTAATTGATGCAATTCAGCTTCATTCACAAGTCATTAATTTTGTGCATGAACTGGCCCAATACTGGAAGTATCAGTATCAAGATATGATTAGCACTTCTATTTGGCCACGTCCCCCAGTTCACGAGGTGTCTGTCTGTGCTATAAAAAACACCCGTAGAAAAATGGAAGACCGTCATGTAGTCTTACATGATTTGAATGTGGCTTGTCAACTCCAGGTATGAAATCTTTATGCTGATGTTCCTTATGTTTTTTAAATAGTATAAGGTTTTTCTAAATTATCTGCTCTTAACTTTGAATATAAGAATAGTAGATTGCATATACTAAATATAAGTTTGCTAAATATTTTAATTGATAAAACTCACCATGTCTTAGTTTTTGTTTGACTTCTGTTTTTCTTAGATTTGAATTAAAAAACATATTTTGTTATTTCTCATTTTCTCGTGTGTGTGTGGGAGCACGTATTCCGTAAATCATAAAGTGGACATGAATTTGTATGTCACTCATACTGGATTTTTAAGAATAATTAGCAGTTATTTTACTAATGATTTTTTCATTTTTATGCCATCCTTTTGATATTGTGTGTAAAACTGCAGTTGAAGGGGAGATCTCATCGGATCCACACTAATTCTGTCATTCTAGTAGGTTAACATCTCATTTGATGTAGACAGGAGATCAAAGAAAACTACTGGTATTACATCGTAGACTTCATTTTTTAGTATGATTTAGAAAATTATGTGTAAAAATCAATAACAAGTAGAACAAATTAATCTACCAATAATATAACCATAAGAAGCCATTAAACAACAATAAGATATATTTATATTCATCTGAAACTAACACATTTTCTGCCAAATAATAAATTAAGTATAAATAAAATTAAACATTTAAGAGGTGTCAAGAAGCAGTCACAGTGTCCCAAACTCATATGCCACAAGAGAAATTTGGCTTTGAAACATAATTGTCTCTGACCTACTGGTGTGTCAGGCGGGCCATAACTAAAAGTCGGTTGTGACCCACCAGTGGGGCACATGGCAGTGGATGTGTTGAAAATGTTTTTGAATATTTTACAACAGAAATTAACATTCACCATAGCCTGGTATTTTAAATAAATATTACAGTTGTTGCCTATCACAAGTAATTGTATGTTGAGAGAACTGTCAAGATTTGATGTATAATGATTTTAATCTTGCACAAAACGTGGACTTCATTCAACAAATCACTAGAGAGATACACAGTTTTACAAATTTAAAGACAAGTTTTTTTGCTCATCATATTACACATAAAGGATACTTGTTTATAATAGTTCAAAATGTAAAATTTTAATTTGATAATTAAGATTTGGAATACTAAGTAATGATACTGCATTTATTTGAATAGAGTTTTTTAAAGTTCTATTCAATTATGTACCAGCTGCCCAGTGTTGGCTAACAATACGAAGAATTAAATTGTGGCAGAATGCTACAAGTTCTTCAAATACCTATAGAATGATAGGTTTCTTTTTTTGTGAGTGTAAAACACTTAAATACACCATTTCGATTTGCATTTATTTTATTCACTGATGTTACTTAGAAACTGAAATGTGTTATTGAACAAGAGTATAAAGGAAATAAAACATGCTTAATTATCTTGAAACCACCAGTGTGCGGTGTGCATAATATGTGGATTTAGAAGTTGTAAATATTACAGCTACCCTTAACTGTAGAATTATTAGTTGAAGCACATACAGATCCCATTATCTTTTTAAATAAATGTTTTTTCGAAGATCTTTATGCTTCCAAATTGCTTGTGGATCAATGACTTTTTTTGGTTACGGGATCCCTAAAAGCATGTGAATCATTGAAAAAATGGAAACAAAAACACCAATGCATGAACGTAAATGTAGAACATAAACAATTCCAAATTTTTGGAAAGGCTGAAAATGAGCAGTGACTAAGATTAAAAGAAACATTAGCCATAAAGAACTTAGCACCTGAACTAAACAAGAAATCCAGCACCGGTGAGCTGATGTTAAAAGTGTGATAAGAGAGAAAAAAAAATTTACATGTTTGAAATTACCTTGTGTTAGTTATTTAAAAACTACATCAATATTTTAGATAGAAAATTAATGATTTCATTCAGTTTGTTAGGTCCATTCATTAAACTGAATCTTTTAATGGAGAAAAAAACATAAAATTACTCGGTATCATACAGTATGTGTAACTTACTAGTAGTGAGAAGTATAAAAACAAGTTGTTACTTTGAAGGTTAATGAAGTTATGATATATATATTTTTAACAAATAGTATATTATTTGTAGTAGATGCTTTCATGATTCTCATCTGGAATTTATTTTGAAGAGGAATTACCGCATGTTACAAATTTTTTGAGGGGGAAATTTTCTTTTTAAATTTCTTGGTACAGAATGTTACCCAACACAGCTACTATGCCATATTTGATGGTCATGCAGGAACAGAAGCTGCCAGCTATGCTGCTGCTCACCTTCATTGGAACATAGTCCAGCATCCTGCATTCTTGACTGATACACCAAATGCTATGAAGGAGGCATTTAAGCTAACGGACAGACATCTCCTTGACAGATCATTCAGAGAGGTGAGGATGCACTTGAACAAATGTCAGTATGGATCATACATGGAACTTTGGGTAGTATCCTCATCTGAATAGTGTGGAGTTGAGGTCTACAGATCATTATTAATCTTGCTTTAAAAATCTATTTTTGGTTCTGAACTAGCTAAATAAACCAGGATAATTTTCTTTTACCTAAATGGTTCCTAACACAGCTTGGCTAATGGGGATTTCATAATCTCAGGATTGAAGAAGGTTCCATATAACCGGCTTAAGTTAATATGTCTAGACCTTTATAGCGTGTACAGTTTCGTTTTTACATTTTACCATAAAATTGTAACACTTTGATTTTTTCAAGAAAGAGATTTTCATACTTAGAAATGGTAGGTTCAACTACTATAAATTGTTCAGAGAGTGACAAAAAATTGCATATTTTCAATGGACATATGGAAAGGTAAGCTTGTGAACTGCCGGAGTGACAAGCAGTTATCAAATGTCGATGGTAGAATGTGAAGTCAATTCAAAATTTTAAGTAACCTTAAACCTTATTTTAATGGTTGTATTCAAGCATGGGTCTTTCAGGTCAGTTTTTTGTTTGTTTTTTTACAAAGTAATGGAACATATTTCAAATTTGCTTACTATTCTATTGAATGGTAATATTTTAATACAGACATAGCACTGATTATATTAGGTTCTTTTATGTGTTTAACAAAGAATGTTTATGGAAAGTCATATTTGTGGATAACTAAAGTCAATCTCACCTCACTTACTAATTTTAGATATATTTTAATATCTTTATAAATTTTAAATGTTAGTAAGCCTAAAGTAATATATTTTAATTCATCAGAAGATAAGACAGCTGTTCAATAAGTTGGACACAAAATGGTTCTATATAATATTTTACATCATTCCTATTTTTAAAAATACACTCTTGAAAATAGATATTACACCATATCAAAATTATTTTGCTGTAATGTTAAATGTTCAACCTTTAACGTTTTTTTATTATTTTTTACAAAATTAAGAAAATTAGCAAATGTTTTATATTTTATTTGGATTTTGTCACAATAGTATGTTTAAGTAAAGTATTTTTCTTTTACTTTACTACGTAAAACTTCTTTTTTCTAGGTTATTTAGAAGTAAAGCTAGAAAAATGTTCTTATCATTGTCCCAAAAATATGATGATGACTCTTTTACTGTTTCTGTTTTTTTATTAAGAATATCAAGGTACTAAATGAAACTGTAAAGGAAAAAATCAGTTTGTTATGAATTTCGTTATTTAGAGCTTGAAATCTTACTTACTCAATACTTAACTTGGGTGAGTGCTAGCTATCCTATGGCACTACTCAAAACAGCAACTTTATAAATTATTATAAACTGAAGGGTAAATATGCTTAGTAGAAAAGAGAGAGATTTCTTTTGATGAAATATGTTATTGCTTCAGAGTTTTAGTTTGTGGCTTCTTAAAGAAGTTAACATCCCACTAATCTGAGTAGTCAAGTCAAAACAACTATTGTGAATAGTAGGATGTTAACCTCCTGAAGAATTCGCATGGTGAACTATTGAGGTAATAAAAGTTTCAACTGGAAAAGGTTGTCTTTTCCTTTCTTCCCCCTTTTTTATATTTTTTTTATTAACCTTCAATTTTGTTTCTATGCTGGAAAAAAGCTCTTGAACTTAATGAAAGTGTTTGTAAATTTTCATTTCAATTACTGATGTTTGTTTTATGCTTCTAACATTTGCATTTGCAAAGAAATGTATGTGAAGCCTTGCAATACCATTTTAGGTGTGACTGCAAGTGTTTAGAACTTTTAATGTTACCCTCCCAATGTTTTCCTTTGAGTTAGTATTTAAATCATGTGAAGACCCACCTGATACTGGAAAATTTGAAGTTGATATAGATTAAAATAGATATCATGCCTTGCTGAAGAAAAATGCAGAAGTCAAGAAAAAGGTAGAGAATTAAAAACAGTGGTTAAATCAGTGTCCCTAAATAGTTAGAACACCAGCTAAAAATAAATACTCAATTTTTATTTAGGATGACACAAGTTATTCAACTTTTGTAGTCATATTGTCTTTTTCAAAGTAAACTGTTTAATAAAAATAAGTTTATTTACCAAAAATATTTGTAATTCTATTTAAATTGTACTAATTTTAGTTAATTGGCCACTCATTACTTAGAGAGTTAATATTATTAACTTATAGTAGCTGTGATCTACAAAACATTTGCAGAATTTTTCATGCCCTTTGCTTGAATTTTCCTTATTCTATCATTTTCACGTATGCTATTTAAGTCACGTTTTCTTGCGGGCATTATGTGTTAGATCAATAAATCCTGGTCTTATTTGAAAAAAGTTTATGTGGTCAGACAAACAAAGTTGCACAGATGTGACTATTTAATAAAACAACATGTAAAGTAAACAATAAAGTATAGTAATGGTATATAATAGTGTACAGAGTATGAAACAATTGAGCATTCAGTGTATGACACAGTTTTATGAGTTGAAACAAAGAAACTAACAAAAATGAATAATAAAGCCTGTGGTAAAGAAAAAATAGCTAAAAGGTGTTTATAGCAGTCTATGAAATAAACCAAAGTTAACTTATTGCAAAGTAAACAAAATTTGAAGTTGAATGAAGGCAAACTTAGCTGAATATGCAGAAATGTTTGAATGCATGTTCACAAAGTGATAAGCATACGGTCTTGAATATACTGTGCATGCATATTTTAGACCTAAATTATTTAAGAAAGCCCATAGAAATTATATGTAGTATTAGTTTGTTTTTTGTTTTTTTTTAGGAAATTACATACAGGTTATGTGTTGTTTGTGTGAAATATTTTGCAAATAAAAAAACAAAAAAACCTGAAGTTTAAGTCGAAGCCACTTGTGATGATAACAACATTGTGCCATCATGTACCATACTTGAAACAGGTAAGGTGATTCTGAATAAAAAAAGTCGGTAAGCAATCAGGACTCCTTGGACAAAGGTCTTTCTAACAGTAGGAGATTTGTAGCATTTGATCAAGAAATTTGCGAGAAAAGTTCTGGACAGTCAAATGTAAGCATATTATTTATGTAGATTGATAAAAGTTTTCGGCAACATCCAAAACATATATTTTTATTATCTGAATAGGGTATAAAAAGTGGGTGTACAGCAGTTTGTTGCCTTATACGAGAAGATACTCTCTACCTTGCGTGGCTTGGAGACTCTCAGGCTGTTGTTGTTCGTGAAGGAGTACCCTTGGGTGTCATGTCTCTGCACAAGCCAGACCGAGAGGTGAGGATGTATTTGGTGATTTGCCTTTGCTCCTGAATATTACAATAAAATCAAATAGTGGTTGAACAGTCACCAAGTTTTTATATATAAAGAAGGATGGCATTTTGAGCTAGTGCTCTTCGTCAGATCATACTGTACGATCTGACAAAGAGTGCCAGCTTGAAACATCTTCCTTCTTTAAATACAAATATCAAAAACTTGACATTTGTTCAACCTGTTATTTAATTTTGATATTTTCATTGCCTCTGTAGTTTTAACTATATTTGTCCTGAATATTACAGTAACTCAATGTTATGGGGATAAACCTTGAATGTAAATGTTAGAAAACGATGTTGCCTTGACAAATCAAGACAGTGCATGCTTTTTAGTTTTAGTTGTATGCATTTTTTAGTTTTTTGTTTTATTTTTTAATTGAGACAAATTTTTTTTATTCTGATGTTTGAATTTCCAATTAGTTTTTTTCCCTCGTGAATTTTGTCTATGATTTTGGTTAAAGATTATTGATACCACATTTTCAGCATAGACAGTTGTCTGCAGTCTTTGCTTTTGTGACACAAGATTATTTGAATCATTAATCATTTGACTTAAAAATTAAATGCAAAACAATTTTGATTTTTGAACCTTAAAAAAATTCACCATATAATGTGTCATATCTTTAGTTTATTAGTCAACAAGAAAGTAAAATTTTGTTCAAAACTTAGTTCATTATTGATTTGATTGATTACTCGTAACCACTGGATTCATGACTTGCGAGTGTAACAACACATACAGCAAAACACTTTGTATCAAAATATGTAATGTTTTTTGTAAGATAAAAATTTGTTTACTATTAAACATTCCCAAAATACATAATTTATGAAATTGCAGTTCTATGCCTAACTCAATTTCTCGTCCAGCTCAGCATGAGATCTCGTAAAGTCTGCAAACAAAAAGTGTACCACTGTAGATTCCTTATTAAGATTTAATGTTTGAAGGTACTTTGTTAATTTGATTTTGTTAGAGATATACAGTAGCTCAACTTCCAGATGGAATTTTGATGTATGAAACAAATCTTGGTGGATTGATCAGAGTGGTTCACTCTTCTGTTGATGGGCCCACAAGTGTCATATTATGATATACCTTTGTAGAGATATATTTGGAAAATGTCATGATGTGAATGGCTAGCTGTGTTCTGCTTCTTTTACAGATGGGTGCTGTAATGGGCTTGTTGTGATTTATCTTTGTAGAGATGTGTTCTGAAGGTGTCACAATGTGGCACAATAAACTCTTTTACAGACATATTCGCATACAGCTGTATCACTTTTGCGCGTTTTGTGACTTTCTAAAGTGTTACATTCAAAATTTAATTAAACTGCTTTATTATCAATGTATGCCAATAAAATAAAGGGTATGGAAATGTAGTTTATAATTCAAATTTTTATATTATCTTAGTTTAACTTTTTAATTTTAAAGAAGAGAGATCAAAAAGTTTTCATTCTTCATTTTTCTGTCATGTATAGTTAGTTTCACCAATCTGGGGTCTGGTTCACCAATTCCGTGAACATATGGGTCATATCATCATGTTTAAATCTTTGAAAACTAGCTTAAATTTTATATAACTAAAGGATTAGTGTGCATGCATGCATGTTTGTGCGTGCGAAGCTTTTTGAACTTCATTTAACCATGCAAAAATGAAACTAGGAGTAGGGAAGTACAGATGATGTCACCATTTGTGTAAGAATGCAGGAAAGGTATTTGGGGAATGGTCTGTCATCCCTCAGAGAGCCGTGTTTGTGTTAAAGTTTTAAGTGTGAATTTCTTCATTTGTTTATAGACACAAAGAGCATCATTACCCTAACCCTGTTATGTAGGGACCTGGGAGCGATATCATTTTAATACTTGCCCATGATGCCCAGGTTTTGAAAGCATTGCTAGATCTAGTGCTTCTTACTAGGCAAGTTGAACAGTTTGTCATTTTTGATCACATTATTCAGCTTAAAGTACTAGAGGTGTTTGGTGGGTATCGGGTGTTGTGAAATAGGTTTAACCTCGTAGTCATTGAGACACCCTGCATGGCCATTAGATTTGTTCAGAACTCTACATACCTAACCTTATATGTGAGTAGTCTAGGCAGGCCACTTAACTATTTTAATTATTTTAAATACACAGCACTGCATTTTAAGTTTTATAAACTTTGTGCACTCAAATACAAGATATCACGACCAAAAAATGGTTTGTACACAAAGCATGAACTTTCCCCTTGTATATCGTTATTTAGATATATTCATGTAATTTTTCCAAATGTTCATATAGTTGTTCATGTTTCTGTCCCTGTTTTATGCAGACATACATTATTCTTGTTGTTATCCTCGTCCTGTGCAGACACATATTATTCATGTTTCTGTCCTTGTGCAGATATACATTATTTTTGTTTCTGTTCTTGTCCTTGCTTCGGTCTCTTTTGTGTGTAGATATTTTTAGAATTCTTCTCTCAGAGCCAACAGTCAGTTGTAGTCTTGCATTGAATAAGAAGCTGGCCAGTAGGTAAAATATAGAATCACTATTTATAAATAAAGATTTGTTTTCCTTTGCTGTGTTTGTTTGAAATGTTATCTGTATAACTTCAGAACTAGCATTTTATAGGCACTTTAACTTGTATGTCAGTCATCTGTACCTGAATATTACACAGATAGGTCTTATAAAGTTATGTTTCAATTTACACATGCAAAACAATTTTCTACTAGTCTGAAACTGTGCTCACCTAACAGGGGGCGATGAAGGGATTCAGTTTTTGACATATTACTATCTTATAACTTCAAATTTTAGATAATTTACTTTATATAACACTTGTTGTTTATTCTGACACATTAAATTTGTCACTTAGGGCTAAAGTAATTCTCTGTGATTAGATGCGAAGTCTCAAAGGAAAACATTTTGATGAGTAAATACAATCTGTGAAAATAGAAAATACCAAGACATCTTTATTAGATTTAGTAACTATAATAACATTCCATTATCAAAGATTACAGAATATAATGAACTTGAACTGCTCTCGCTTGTTTATTTCAGTTAAATATTTCTAGTACTCTGGGAACAGCACCCTTAAGGCCAAACAAGTTAAACTTTTTACCCATTAAATGCAACAGTAAAATACTCAAAGTTCACAGATTTTGAAATGTATCGATGTTAACTCTGTGGCTAGAGATCTAAAAAGCATGTTTTACTTTCACAGTTTTAAAAACATTTTCTTGAAAGGTAAACTTTGTTTTAAATGAACAGCATATTTTTTTGCAAGTGTATTGCTTTTTGTCTCACTTTATTATATTATTCCTAATGTGAAACTCAAAGATAAAATAAATTTTATAAAAGTATTTTTTAAAGTAAATTTATTCTATAGTAGTAGTAGTAGTAGAGAGGTTTAATTGCACTTTATTTCAACTAGTTATACGTAAATGCGTTGCCTTAGGCACGAGCTGTGGAACCATTCAACAATACTACGCTACCATGGATAGACTTGTGGCTGGAGGGATATAAGAAGCATTTTCAAATAAAAATAATCATACAGAAAAATTGTTAAAGGATGTAGAGCCAAAAGATGCAACAGTTCATAAAAGGGAGCCTTCAGTGTTCTCCACAGAAGCATAAAAACTCTCCAAGTAGGATGCTTAGGACACCAGGGCTCTGAACACAATTTGAAGTAGTGTTCTCATCTGCTGAGAATGGTTACAGAAGAAAACTAAAAAACAGTTATGAGTAATCCAGACATATCTTATAGTATCTTTAACAAGAATACAAAACTGATAAAGGCACCAAAAATTCATAAGCTTCTAACCATACTTTGACAATAGTTATTGTCTTAAGAAAGATAGCCAAAAGTACTAGAATTACAGCAATCCCAATTGACCATGTACTTTCCTGTTCCCTAATGCAACTCCAATGGACTTTTGTGTCTATGGTATGCTTGAATATGGTCTTGGTAGCCAATATCCACACACAATGGAGAATGGGGAAAGTTTGGGAAGATATTTGGTCTATGGTTGATTTTGCAGAAGCTTGTTACATTTTAAGGCCAATGTTGTGCAGTTGTGTGTAATCATGGTCAGACTGAGCATAGTCAATATTGGAGGAAGCAGTTGCAAGGGTGGATGAGCTACAGTCTTATAAAGTATAGTTATTAAAGCTTGTGAGCTGGTATAAGAAATTATAAGAATGTTGTATTGAAAGACTTTTCAATATTTACAATAAGAAAAAAATTTGGTAAATAGAAAAAACATATTCATCATAGTTTTTTTTTAATTATGTTTTTCAGGATGAAAGACTTAGGATAGAGAAAGAGGGTGGATGTGTCCTCTTTATTGGTACATGGAGAGTAAATGGAACATTGGCTGTGTCCAGGGCATTAGGTATTTTATTTTTTGTAGTTATGTGTGATTAGTAATACAAATAAGGAGTTTGCTGGTGAAAAATGTATCTCTTGACAATAGATCAAATAGTAACTTTTGTTTTCCCTAGACATTTATGTTGCACAGTTCATTATTATATTCTCTTGTATCTAGCAAGGTTTACACAACTTGGATAACCTGAGTGTTGACATTCAGACACTTGTCAGCATAGAGGTGAAAGTTTGAAAAATGTTTCAGGTTTTCTTTCCAAAAGAATAAACATTTCTGATAGGATTTACTATTTATTGGTTATATTGTTTGCCTTTATGGAGAATAATATATGCTGTAAAAAATTCTTGTTAAACTTTCATCAGTTATAGCTTGAGCGTATTTAGTTTGGAATGTGAAATTCTTATCTTTAATTTGCTAAATGTAATATTTTCTATCTACTTTTTTTTGTTTTCAAGTATAATTAAATGCTGGTTTAGGTGTATTGTCAATTAAATATCTTAACCTTTTACCTTCTCAGGTTAAGCCATATTAGTTGCTTCTGTATTGCAAAAACTATTTAGTGATTAGTAGTTAGGAAAACATATTTTAAAACTATAAGTTATGTAGCAATAGTTTGCTAAAAATCATGAGTTTAGACATTTTCACCCAAGATTAGTCATGTTTGATTACCACTGTTTTATTCACTTACCATAACATAATACTATTAGCAAGTCAATTGAGAATACCATTGATGTTACCAGAATATTAATGCTATTGGCAAGTCGTTTGAGATTTCCACTGGTATTGCCAGAAATGTATAATATCAGCAAGTCATTAAAAGTTTTGTTATTATGGTTTCATCTATTTATTTTTTAGCTTACAAAATTGTTGTTGTGGTAAGTACAAAGTCTGAACAAGAAAGAAATAATGTTGGATAGAACACACGGTTCAAGCAGATAACTAGGGATTGATGAATTAAGTAGAAACATTGTTTTCAGCATTCATTTAGTACTAATTATGGATGCACAGGTATTAAAATTTGGGCGAAGACTGGGTTCAGGTACTCGGGCACTAAGCTTCGCCCGGGTTCTCCCCTCGACCCCCAAAAAACAAAAACAACAACAAAATACAAAAAAATTAGAAACAAAATTGATGTTTATTACATTTAACCGAATAATCACCAACAGAACATCCAAGTTTTGTTTTCAATGCCTAGCCCCAACTTCTCAAACTTTAACCCCTATTGTTCTCAAAACCCCCACCTTCCCCAGGAGTCCACTTCTCAAGCCATGTCTGTGTTATTAACCCCTATTGTTCTCTGAATCCCTGACTTTTAGCAGGCGGTCAGCTTTTGTTGCTTGGAACACGTTTTTTTTTTATAACTAAACCAGTTATTGACTGTAACTTTTCAGTACCATGTTAGTTGCCAAAAAGATTAAGGCTTAGATGCCAACTTCAACACTCGGCCTGGTACTTGTGCATCCCTAGAACTAATACAGCTGAAATTATTTTTAAGTGAAAATAATAAAAATATTATTTTTAGACTTTTAAACAGAAAAATCGAGAAGTCAAAATTTGTTTTGGTCCTTACTTTCTTTGACATATTTACTGTGGATGGATAGAATTGTTTTACTGGCTGTGAACCCTTCTCCTCTGATTTATTTCTTACATAAGGTCTAGCTGAATATGTATAGTGCTGCCCACAGTGGCATGTCTGCAGACTTATACCACTATAAACCAGGTTTCTATACCCGTGATGAGCAGAGCACAGATTGCCCTTTGTGCTTAACTTCAAACAAACAAATTTCTTGTGCCTTCCCAGTGTGCAGTGGGTTTTTAATGAATGAGACAGTTTTAAAGGGCTGCTTACTTCTCAACCTTTTAAAAACTAATGTAGTAATTCCAATTTACCTTTTTTTTTCCTTCTAACAAACATTTCTGTACTAATGATCATAATTCTTACTGATTTTGTCACCGTAGAAACATGACTCAAAATTACAGTAGTTGATTAGTTGTAGTAGTACTGTAAGTGGCTCGTTTTTTTAAGGGCCTTTTGGTGTTGAGACTAAACAATCTGTTTTGGTAAATAAGACAAAACTTTAAGTTTCTTTTGAAGCTTATCAAGATGTGTGAACTTTACTCTCGAGGATTATTATGTATTTTATTGCAGAGCTTACAACAATTAAAACTAAACTAGCTGGTAAACAAAGCAGTAGCAAACTTGTGTTATGGTACAACTTTGTTTTTAAGTTAATAAAGAAAAATTAATTAATCTTGTTGCAACAAAATCTGTTTGGCTTACCAGAACGTTTTTTATATTATTCCTATTTAAACAGAAATCACATAACTCTCATTGAAAGGTTGTTTTTCCTGTAGGTGATCCAGAACATAAGCCTTATGTCAGTTGTGAACCTGATGTCATTACAGTTAACTTGGATGGCACAGAAGACTTTGTGATCCTTGGTTGTGATGGACTGTGGGATCGAATGACTCCTTCAGATATAATTACATCTGTTTACTGCTATGTTAAAGAAAGCCCTAATAATGTAGAAAACCTATCTTCACACTTAGTATACCAAGCTAAAGACAAAGGTTCCAGTGACAACATTACTGCCATTGTGGTATTTCTCAGAGCCCCAGTAGATCTAGTTAACAGGCCTATACCTGCTCCTGTGATGTTCCCACAGCTGCAAGGAGAGTCGGGAACTTTTAACGGAACAACTGTTTCATGTGGTGCTACTATGTCAAGTCATGACCCACAGTTGTTTCAGAACAACAACGAGTATCAGTCAGAATATAACCAGTGGAATCTGAAATCTCCTTTTATTGGTTCTGATGGTGAAAGACAGCAATCTGAGTTTTCTCTGAGTAACCAAGCTGGTGCTAATGGTCCTGAGGAAATGTCTCGACCCATCACTATGGGTGTCATGCCTGAGAGAACAGAGCTTAGTGAACTACCTACTCCACCCATTGATGATATAATGAAATCTGGGCAGTTTGAATCATGTTTGGATAATGTGGACAATTCTATAAATAAGGTAGCTCAAGATGGAGGTGTTTCTCTGGTGAGCATAGAGGAGGAAGGGCTCGGACAGCAGCAGTTAGCTAAACATCCTGAAGGATTTGTTGCTTCTATGTCAACAAGTCATACAGAAGTCCAAGAAGTAGCAAGTAAAATAGTACAATCAGCCATTGAATCAGCTGTCACTGTTGTTCACTGCAAAGAAGAGCAGTTGAACTTACAAGATCTAGAAGAAGGTACAACTGGGCAAAATACTTCTTTTCAAAACATCTTCATTAGCACTGAAGAATCATCAAAGTACCACCCTGAACTTGAGCAGCAGCTAGTACAAACTGAAAATAAAAATAAGGCTGGCATTACAGTTGATTTAGAAAATAAGCCATCATCAACTCCAGAAAGTGACCTAGAAAAGCCAGTACCTGTTTCTAAACAAGAACAACCAACAGTTACTTCAGAACTTATATTAGAATCTATACAACCTACGCCAACTCTACTATTCGATACTGAACAGCCTTTACACACTCCACAGGAGAAAGATGAATCAACAAAACCATTACCTACCCCACAACCTGAAACTGAACAGTCTGTACTCACTCCACAGGATGTATCAACTAAAACAGTACCCACCACACAACCTGATACTGAACAACAACTACTTATTCCAGAGGATGTAGGAACACAACCAGTACCCATCCCAAAACCTGAAACTGAACAATCTTTACTCACTCCACAGGATGTTGAAACACAACCAGTACTCACTGCAAAACTTGAAACTGAACAACCGTTAGTTGCTCCTCAAGATGTAGAAACACAACCAGTACCAACATCACAACCTGAAACTGAACAACCTTTATTCACTTCACAGGATATCGAAACACAACTAGTACCAACATCACAACTTGAAATTGAAC